ACTCTTAGTGCTCCAAGCAAGACCAGAGGCTGTTTGTACTAGGTATTTTTACACACATGAAAGCATGGTCCCTGCACCAAGTTTAAAATTTGTGGGTTTTTAAACTACAAAAAGAATGTATTTTGGTGATTTGCTGCTATTAAAGTTATCCCTCTAAAATGTTTCTGTTTGAATCAGCAACTGGAAGTAAGGAGGTCACCTATCTTACGGAATTCATAATGAACTCACATTGGTTTGAACAACAGACTGAAGCACTCCCACTTAGGTGCCTGCAGTGAGTCTGGAGCTGCGACCATGTGCTTGCGGGGAACAAAGCAGCAAGGCCCCGCTGAAAGTGGTACGGCTACATCTGCACCAAGACTGCACAGATGCGACCAACCTTGCTGTAAACTAGATCAGAGTTTGCCCAGGCTGTAAAACCTAGTCCGAGAACCAGGGCACGCATTCAAGCAGTTCAGCTGCTCCAGCGAGAGCAGAAGCAAGGCCAGAGTCACGCAGAGGGAAGAAGAAGGGAGTATGACTCTCTGCAGCTTAGCTGTTAGGGTACAGAGAGCAGAAAGCACATCCTAGAGGTCAGTCGTTGCGCCAAAGGCTATTTTTCTTTTCCTCCGGGGACTGTTCCCTTTCTCACCTAGAGACATGAATTTACCTACACTTATATGAAAAAACATAATTTACTGTAAAGAGTCTGATCCTGTTGATGTGCATGTATGTGATCTGAAACACCAGCCTCGATCGAGACTCACGGGAACTTGAGACAGGAAGGCCCTGTTTGGTCAGACTTGCGTATCCACAAGATGTTGAGCTTCTCAAGCATATAATCATACATCCTTCAGCAAAGATGAGGTAAATTATCTTGCATACAACTAAGATCAACAGCAGCCCACAACTAGTCGTTGCCAGGGAACAGCTAGTCAGCTTTAAATCTACATACCTTATCTTGTATCTAATAACTGATTCATCCGTATCTTCAGGTCTGAAGGTCTCCTCACCATGCCAAAAAGTATATAATCTGTATCACTCAAATGTGTTTGTTATTTCATGATGCTCAAAAATTAGTTCTGCAGAACCACCAAAAAATAAAACAAGATATCCTAATTCTGGAAGTGGTGACTATTCAAATACTAGCTCCCCCTTAATAAACAAAATTAACCTATTCATAAATTATTTCTCCTCCTCAAACTAATGCACAGAATGTTATTCAGTGCAAATCTACTCTGAAAATGGTTCCAAATAAAGACAAGTTGGGATTCCATTCAGGTCACAAATGAAAGGACATTTTTCTTGTTACCAGTGTTACTTACCCTGTGGGCTCTAAGAAGCAAACTAAGCTCTTCTTTTATGCCCATCCTCAACACCTGCACAGACAACACACCTCTCATGCTCTCAAGGACATCCCTGCAAGCTACACCGAGACTAGATGAGTGACACTAAAGCATCAACTAGCTTCAAAAATCTGTGACAACTGAAACTGGCAGGAGAAGAGCTCTTCCTTATTTTCAGGATGTCATTTAGGGAAAACATCTCCTTGCTTGGCATTGTTTACCTTTTCCACTCTCACCAGCCCGTCCTAGACCTTAAAGCAGCTTCCAAAATACATTCTATCTAAAGATACAGCCATTTTCCCAAAGCTAAGTGGTATAACTTCATAATTTCAAGCAACAGAAGGTCACATGTATCTGGGACTCCTGAGATACCATGGAGCTGTTTTATCTTGGAATAGAACCAGCCCCTCAGGTTTATTTGCATACCAGGGTCTATGGAGCAAGACTCTCTGCTAACTGTCCTATGAGGTACTGCTCATGGACCCTGCCAGTTCACAAGATTTCTGTTGTGGTATATCCAGAATTACCAAAAACCCTTCCCTAAGTTTTCCCTGTGCTTAATTCTTTTTTTGCCTTAGACTGGTAGCTTTTCTTGGCAAACAGAATTGAAGGCTTTTGTTATTACATTCTATGTATAAGTGCAGTAGACTATAAGACACTGGCAGAGAAATTACACCACATAGGATAAAAGTCAGCATTTATGCCTTATACTTGAGACTACAATCAATGTAGTCTATGCTGTGCTCTGTTTGGGCAACCCTCGACAAAGATCAGTAGTTGCATTATGTGACCCCAGCTGTAGAAACTCTCAAGCATTGTTATATGCACGCTCCTACATGTAAGAAGATTAAGAACAACTTCAACTAGTTTTCAGGAAAAAAAGAAAATCCAGCATTAATCATCTACCAAGATCCAAGGTTCCAACATTTCTCATGAATTCAAGTGCTTGTTTGTCCACCTCCTTAAGGAAGTCATGCACAGCTTGAAATAAACACACAATGAATTAATCATGAGAAGCAATGCAATGTAGTATTAAGAGAAAGTAAAATGAGGAAGTGAAATTCAGTAATATGATTCATCAGTTACTAGCTTCACTTCAGATCTGGTCAGTCAGTACAGCTAAGGATACAGGAATATGAGCTTCCTCCTCCTCCTCCTTTCTCCTATACTGCTTCTGAAAGCTTTTCCTATATTCAAGACAAGTTCCTTAATGCTATTAATGCTATATGTGTTTTTGTATGATACTTTGATATAGCTTACTCATTTTCATTGCATTTCAGTTAATAATATTCATTGACCACCTTGCAGAAAATACAGCAAGTTTTGTTCAATATGGCCAAGAATTTACAAGCATTCATTTACTCTCAGCAATCGAACGTTCAGAAAATAAAAATCAATAGCAACTTCCCATCTTTTTGTGTCTTAAGTAAGATATACTATGACTTACAAATTTGTGATCAGCTTCCATTTGCCTAAGCTTTTACCCAACTTGCCAGTTCCTCTCTGGCACTCAGCAAAATCCTGACTGCAGCGTATGATTCAGTACTACAGAAAGGCATTGAACCACTGCGCCACAGCAAGTGAGATTGAGAAAGAGACAGTACAGTATTTTTTCTCGTCATAGGAAGAGAAAGGAAGTGAACAAGTTGTGTTGGCTTTACTCCACACAAATCAAGAGGAAGCCTATACTGCTTCCATTTAAGGGAGTTCTCTTGCCACCATGCATTCTTTTGAGTAGCAGAGGATACCCAAACTGAGGCCAAAAATACAATACTCAAGTACATTATCTGAGGATACAAAGAGGATAAATATTGTCAGACTACACAAGTAAACAACAAAAGCAGACTTCTAATTTAAAGCATTATTCATTTTTGCTTGGAGAAGCTTTAAAGTGCATTGTCAGACAATTGAAGCAAACACCTTCAGAGGGGACTTGGGGACAAAGGATTTTGTTTTGAGCAGATAAGTCTCCATCATTTTATTTTTGTTGTCAGACAGTAAAAACATGGAGCACCCTTAATTCGCTTTATTAGTTTTTCCAACAGCATAATAATCCATTCCTCACCAAACCCGTACTTTTTTCTCCCGCTTATATTCATAATTATAAGCTGATGTCACAAAAATTCCTGTATGAACCCCTACAGAACACAGCTCTTTGACCCTTTCTTTCATTGTTAAAAGGGAACCTTGCTAACCTTTTGCATTTATCAGCTTACATGTAAAATTTGAAAATGGTCCGCTCCACCCCTGAGGAACAACTTACATCAGCACTGATGGAAGGGAACCACAACAAACCAATTACAGGGGATGAGTTACATACATATTAAGATGCTAATATAGGTGTATCACTTTTTGAAGTATCTACCACCTGTTTCTACTCATTGCATTTTTGATTCAGATTGTGGAAATTCCCCCAGCGTGCCCACTGGATTGCTTTTAGATGGAACTGAATACGGACTCCTGAGAACCTCTTAACGCATTCTAGGCACTAACAGACATCCTGTATATGCGTCCCAAACAGAGCTTTTTCATTCCAAAACTCCTGAGACACAAATAGCATGGAAAGAGGTCTTTTGTAACAAGTGTTTTGCCTTGTAGATCCACTTGGATCACATTACCTATCAAAAGATATATTATAATTGTATGTAATTATGACTCCAAAATTCTTGCAGAAGCCTGAAGGGTTATTTGGGCTTTTTGAATTATTTTTTGCCTTTCCCTGACATGTTATTTTAAACATTCCCTTTATTGCCATGCCCTTTAAATGTTATCTTAAAAACTGATAACTAATAAACTAAAAACTAAGTTTAATAAATAAGTCAGAATTAATGTATCCTTTTAAAAGGTCATCTGTCGGGGAAAAAAAAAAAGCCAGTAAAACCTGAAGTTAAGTCAGCTTCCCTCTCCTCAGAGGAAAAGCTAGGGCAAGAAGAGGACAGAGCAAGAAATTGCGGTGAGATGCAATTCCAGCCGCTGCCATCTATACTTCAATTTCTAAGGCAAAGTTCATGGGACCTACTGTAGATGTCTCTGCATCTGTAAACCAAGTTTCAGAGGAAAACACACGAATCCAGATGTGAGGGACAGTAAAGGCTTTCCACCGTTGAAGCTGTAGGCCATATCTACAAGAAATCACGTTTCTTTAGATTCTCAATTGCTATAACAGTAAAGGACTTCATTTATAATTCATTGTCTTGTGCATATGTAGGCATGTTAGCCTTCATCTCCTGAGCTCATTCCACTCATCCTCTTCACCCCCCTTCAAAAAAAATGCTCACAGTGCACTACGTTTCACTTCGGCCATAGGGCCTAAAGTGAATGTCTCCTCTGCAGTGCCGTTAAGGTGCAGCCCTTGGAATAATGCTGCAAGCCCTGATGACTGTCAGGCAGGCAGAGCTTACGGGGCCAAGCCACTGCTAAGAGGGGCCCCAGCTGGTGCTGAGGTTATGGTGTTTGCTCTGCATAGGATGGAAACAGTTATCCAGGCCAAGTGTTGCACAGCACCCCTTCCCAGTCTTTGCAAGCAACTTCCCTGCATAAGGTACTTCTCTTGACTTTCAGGATACACTAGCACACAAGTATATTGGAACACTTTTCAGCAACACAAGAACATCCCTTCAAAGGCCCTCAGGGGAAAAAAAAAGTCTGAAGTGAATATATTTGAGTCGGACAAGACTAAGTAATTAAATTTTTATTCATGATCACATACACATGACTAAAATGCTCACCACAAAATGCAAACTTTTAGTTACCTTGTATTTAGCAGTGAAAATAGTCATCTCATCATAGTAAAGCACCAAGGAGCACATCACAGAACAGTCAGAAAGAGATCTCATATCAGTTTTTCCAATATACCATCACAAAGCTGAAGATCTCATACAAGTCTAAAAGTTCCAGAAAAAAATTCTGGAGTCACCTGAGTGCTTGGCAAGAACAGTATTATTTAGTAGCAGTTACATTACTTGTAGTGGAATTCAGAGCACTTGTTTTCTACCTTTTTTTGCAAAAAAGATTACTTTTCACAAAATAGACATTAGGCCATAATTGGGCTAAACACTGGGCCCAATTATTAATATTTTAATGTTTCCAATGGCAGCAGTCTGCCAGTAGAAAGATCTACACCAACTGTACGAAAAGGTGTAAAGGAAGGAAAACCAGCTCATTATAGCCTGATTAGTTAAGGGCCTAACCAGCCCTATACCTACAGGCACCTATACCTATTACTCCACTCAGCTTTCTCCATTGTGCTTATTTTAATTAGTATTTATTGAAACATACTACATTGAAGAAAAATTCTGAAGTTAAATGGAGTTGTGTACATGGACAAATGTACATAGAGTTTTGGTAGTCATTTAAAGCTGTAAAATTCATATACAGAAAGAAATCCTACAAACCCATTACAGATTAGAAATAACCAGAATCACAGTGTTACAGACAAAGTATTCTAACACACAGAAACGAATTTCAGTTATCAAAATTAATTAGAGAATAAAATTGTTATACAAGTGCTGCCTTTTTAATCACTTAAGAACAGCAAATAAGAAGGCAACATTAAGAAAAGTGCACAGCAGAAAAGAATTGTTCAGTTTTCTGAAAAAGTTGAATTCTTCTTGGGACATCAGGCTTTTGTCAGAAACGTAGTGGGTTAGGCTTGCTTACATGCTTTCTCAGATCAGTCTCTTCTTGCATTAGTTTTCCATAAGGTGCTTACTCTGACATGTAGGAACGATACATTAGGGCCACAATAATTGCTGCTATTGCTGGGATCACCCAGTTGGACCATGAACTGGAAAGAATTTTTTGAAATACCAGTTTAGAAACGGTTACCAGAAAATTTTAAAAGGTTAAATCATTGGTTAGCAAAGTTATGCTGTTTCTCCCTCCCCCTTCCCTCACGAACCCTTCAAAGTCAATACAGCAAAACACATGGGCCAGACAGCAACACTCTAGCCAAATAAAAGAGCTTGTTTTAGGCACAACGTCTAACAGTACAAGTTTGCTCAGAGGACAGTAAGATTCTAGACATGTTTAAATTTGTGGCTTGCTGCACAGAACAGTACCATTCATTCAAAAGCTATTCTAAGAGGCAGCATTACATGACACTTTCAAGTACCCAAGCTCACCACTCAAAGGGGCATGCAACAGTCCTCTGAGGTTTCAGCATTAGGCAACTGTCCTTTTATCAGCAGGATGCAACTTTACAAAGTTTGATTTGGTGGTATTTGCACATATATAAAGCTCTCCCCCCATTTGAACATTGTTCTTCATATAGTCAGAAGAGTTTTATTTCCCTCAGAAGCAATCTTACTGATGCATTCTGGCTCACTTTTTAAATTTGTCCCAAAAGCGTCACCAATGGCAGCAAGTGGCTTCTATATATCACCCAGCAGCCTCTGGAAGTGAACACTTATGCCCCATAAACCATTTTGGGGAGACTGGTACATATTAGTAAGGAAAAGTCTTCACAGTAAGGTAATACACTTGTTAAATGGTGCATAGATGACAATTGAGACTTTGCATAAAAAAACATTAATTTCCATGCACTGTTCTCTGACATCTAAGCTTCCACTAGACAGAAACTATTTAGCTTTCCAGACTTCAGAGATGTTCAGAAGACCACAAGGCACTTCAACTTTGACATGAGAAATCATACCATACCTGGAACTAGACTGCACAGTGGTAATAAGAGTTTCCTGGAAGACAAAACCATAAAAATATTTATGTCAGGCAGACATTCTTTGCCATCCCTAAACTAGCCCTCCAGCTTCCTAAAACTGACTAATTTTTAATTAGTCCTAAATGGGACTAATTGCTGCCTTTTTCAAAAAAAGCAATCCTCAAATTTATCTTTTGCATTTTATGGGTAAAAGTTTCTGAAATCAGCTGCTACACTAACAATCCAGTGCACTGCTTTTGGAAAACATTGTCTTGGACTTCTTGCAACTCTTGTATTTGAAACTAGTAGGCGGCAGCATTAACCTGCTGTGCGATATGTTTCTGTAGCTGATATTATGAAGTTCTTAAAAAAAAAAAAAACCACACAAAACGTATCAACTTGTGAAACGAGCTTTTTGTGAAGTTAAATTCAACTTCAGGTTACATTAGGAAAGTTTTCGTTGCCTAAAACGGAAGGTTGGGTTATTTTGTGTGGGTGGGTTTTTTTTGGAGTGGGGGGCTGTTTTGAGGTTTTTTTGTTTCTTCTTTCTTCATAGACAATGAGTCCTTGCTTGCCTGCAATCTAATTGCAATGTCTCCAAATTAACACAAAGCAAGTCACTGACTGACATTCAGATGAGATTTATAAAGCAGTTTGTGTTTAGTGTGGTGCTTCAGATTGCATAAGAATTTCAGGCAAATTATCAGTTAAGTTGTTACTGTTGCTTTTGATATCTTGCCACTTGAATTTTTGTTCAGCTTCCACTGTAAAAGCAACACTACAAGATCAAATCCTAGCTGGGTACATGTGCACAATTTATAATAGAGGTTTTTTAAATTTGAATACTAATTGCACTTGGCCCTAAATGCATTTACAAGGTCCAAGGATTAAAACCAGATCCATCACTGAAAACAAATTACTTCAGTATCAGAATATTTATAATCCAGGTAAAGTAAAGGATTCCTCAGATCCCCTCATATAGGTTTAACAGGCCACTTTGTTACATATAAACACATGATGATTCAGGAGTCTAAAAAATAACATCTTTAAAAGAACAAGGCTCATGATTACATCCGTATCTGTTTCGTGGATTGCTCCAGAGAGAAATCTAACCTCAGAGCCCAACAGGGTGAAACAACTTGTGCCCACACTACTAGGGCTAACGCCTTCTGCAACAGACTGGCCTTATCCACAGGGCTAAAGGGTCCCCTCCACCCCCCTTCAAGTATCAAAGACAGTAAAAGGAACATGGGCCACTTTATAAAAATGCTTTTTTAATACTATGACACCAAGTGTAAACCAACTTTAAATACAGCACAAGGACAAGAGGGGCAATTGAAAGCACAAGGCTTGCTGACAGCTGCTGGAAAGCCTGGGCACCGGGAGCCTACCTTGCCACGTTACACATCCAGAGCACAGTGCAAAGCAAAACTATCTTATCAGCTATGCCCACACTTCCTGTCAGAGGAAAGTGTCCCTGTCAGTCCAGAAGGAAGTTGGAGGACACACATGTAGTGTAGATGACTGCAGATCAGCATCAAAACAAGGGAAGTAGTCAAACAGAATACAGTAAGAAGTCATCCTGATGCATCTGAACTGCAACAGACCATGCTTTGACCAAATTTCCTGGGTATAGTATAATCAAGAGATGGTATTACTATAACTCACATAGGGCAATCTGTTTCTCAGTTGCCTTTATGGTTGCTCCTCTTGCAGCTTAAGCATTAATTGCCCTGAACATCAAAAATATCGGAATGGCAGGTGCTATTCTTGATGGGAGGCACTCTGAATACCTGTTCCCACCCCACTTCTTAATTATTAGTATGTTACTTCCATTTTTTAATTAGTTATAATTACTATAGTGAACATTTCAATGTGTATTCTTTGTGTTGTTCCCTTTAACTTATTCATATTATTAAAAGATTTTAGAAAAGCAATTGTTCTTGAAAGTAATCTCTCAAAGAGCACAAGAAGATCCTATTACTACTACACTCCATTTTAAGCTGTCTTTAACTATTTTCCAAGTATAGTGCTGTGCTGTTAAGCCAGCCCTGAGCAACATCCTCTATATACACAGCAGCAGCAGGTGTACAAGTTAACCCCTGCTGCCCTTCCTCCTTTAAGGGAGGCCAGAATTTTATGAGTTGAACAGCTGAGTGTCAACCCAACTTCATTTTTTCAGAAAGAAAAAATTGTTAGCAGGTAAGACAGTGCAATACTACATAGACAGGACACTATCGGCAATATCTATACAGTCAGGCAGTGAACAGCGTCTTCACCTTGAAAAAGGATGCACTATTGCTAATTACCTCTTCTATTATGTAACAAACGAATTCAACTGCTTTCTCTATCTAAGAGCATTACCAATGTATTCTTAAAGCACTACGTCTCCCCCACCCCAAACCACTTGTTTGTCAATCCTGCCTATAAGTTAAACTTTTTTTAAAATGAATACTAGAAAACCATTGATTCTAGACTAATTTTTTTGCTATAGTGTAACACTACCACTTAATCACCTCTTGCTTTGAAACCACACAAGTTACAGGCAAGACAGTATAGCTAACAGGAATAATTCACAGTGAAGCCAGATCAACAGGTTTAATAGATTTATGACTTGAAACACTATCCTTTAACAGGAACCTGAATTATTTTTGTCTCTGTGGATATACTTTGTACAGAGACACACCACCTCTAATGCTCAGAAGGAATAATGACGTGATGATTCAGGAAAATACTTACTGTTGGTTTCTGAAGCTTTCCTCTATCATCCTGCAGGAAAATAAGGAACAATACTTAGAGAAAAAACCTAAAGCATTCAAAAAATTCATCTATCACCAACTTTAGTTCACAATTCTATTGTGTTGATGTATACCGATTCTTTTCTAGGAAAGAGACTTACAGAAGGGCAGATAGGTGTCAATGTATGATGCTGAGCTACAATAAACAAGATTTCCTTGATTAATTCTCAAAATACAATAAAGAAATGAAACAACTCTCCAACATATTTCACTATTTCTTATGCCCATGTTTTTATATTTCCTTTGCCTCTAAACAGTACATACCCTTAGCTTATACACCAATTACAAGAGTACTAGTTTACTTCTACCTAGTCTGCTTGTAACATAGGCCAAATTAGATAACTAGTACTGGTCCAGCACAACGGTCTCAGATTTTATGAATCTGCCATAAACTCAGTTAGTTTTCCAGATAATAGACATATTCATTACAAAAAAGCAGTACATCATCTTGATAGTGTTCTAATTGTACATAAGACTGCCAACAATTGCGTACTTCATATTAAATGAAACCAGACCCTTGTGTGATAAGAACTGAAGACTGGTAGCTGGGTTAAGAACAAAAATTTCACTATGTCAATAATCAGCAGAAATAGATGACAAGTCTGCTAGGTTACAAATATGAAGTAATTCAGGCCTGATGCATATCAGGAAAGGCTACACTGTTAACGGATATCAAAATAGGGCTTAAGATGTATATAGGATAATGAATCTTACTGTGAAGCACACAGAGACAAGGATATTTATCTGAAAGGCAAGACAAAACACACACAAAACAGATAAGAGAAGACGACAGAAAGAGGCACTGACAGTCAGTAGAGTCTACACACTAGCAGCCTAAGTCACTATGAGGTTGTTTTCAACTACCAAAATACAGGAGAATATAGGAAAAGGCAAGTCAGAAGGGAGCCAAGGCAAAGTCTCTGTAGCTAAGAGGTAGAAATAAATCCTTTAAAGCTTGAGGCAGCAGAAAGTTTCTTGTTAAAAGCGTAAGAAATAGCAAGAAGAAAATAGAAAAAAAGGAGGTGATAGAATATGTGGTGGGAACTCATGATGAACAGCTGTGACAACTACAAGCATGTAACATTGACACAGCACAAAACAGGGGAGCCAAAGACAGGGAAGACAGACAAAACATCAGGGTAAAAGAAAAAACTGCTAGTGCAAAGATCTATCTAGAAAGACACATGAAGACCCAGACGGTACTTGTAGATCCAGATGGAAGCCTGACATAAATACTTACAGTGATGAAAGCATAAAAGTGGCTGTTAGCAATCACTTTGCACACAGAGATATCTTTAAAAAGGGCTTAGACATTCTGACACATCACCTTCAAGGTCTTATACCTTGTTATAAGATTCTAGTCTGTTCACAGAGTTCACAGGTCAGAAATAACATGATTTCATACTCAGTTTATTTAATACCTAAGCTGTAATGCATTTCAAAGAAGAAAATCTGTATGTGACCATCATTATGCTATATGAGTCAACTGCTGAAGACTGGTGGCATCTATCTCCAGTCCTCGTGCACCGAAAACGGTTGCAGAGCTGTCATCCAGCCACACTAGTGGCTATCCTTATTTTGAGAGTAAATAGCTGGAGAAAGGGCTAGACACAAGAACACTGTCATAAAGCAGCAAACACCACTACTCCTACATACTCACCGGATGAAGCTCCCCAATAATAAATGTCTCTGACAGCGTCCTTGCATCTGTGGAGTGGCCGACATCTTCAAAGTTCTCAGTAGCATCTCCCCCAGCTTGCTCCCTGAGGACCTCTTCACCCCCTGGGTGCTGCAATTTAATCATTTTTTGCATTTGTTAGTAGAAAAAAATTTCCACATTTCTAAAAATCAAAATTTGGCCTTTGCAAAAAGCAGTTGCTGGACTTGTTTTACAGTAAATGCAAGCCTCTCTTAAATAACTTTAGGGCTTTATACATTCTCAGGAGTCAAAAAGAAAAACTAAGTCTCTGCTCCATCAAAGACTGATCAGTGTACGACATCGCCCCTAGCAGCTAGAGCAGCATTTAGAATATAGCAGGAATCAGTCATTCTTTTCGTGGCCTAACTATCGCATTTCATACAAACAAAGCTTTATACAGAAAAGGGGTAAGAGTCAAAAGGTAAAGTTGCAGCAAGCAACATTCCAACTAGATAACAACAAAAAAATTATTCACAAGAAGGGTGATCAAACACTGAAACAAGTTGGCCAGAAAGCCTGCAGAATTTCCATGCTTTGAATCACTCAAAGCTTGCCTAGGTGAGGCCCTGAGGAACCAAACTTAACTTACAACTTAACAGTAGTTTGAGGTGGGCACTGGGCCCTACAGGGGCCTTCCCAACAGAAATTATTGGATGATTTTATCTAGTTAAGTCAGCTACTCTGGAGCTGCTTAAGCACTGCCAAAAACTCTTACAAAACACTAGAAGAGCTTACAATTTAGTTTTAGCTGATTATGAAATCATAAGACCACACTGCTGACAAAACCATCAAGATGGAAAAAAGAGGGGCTGTCCTAGTATCTCTTAACACCTCAACCTTTTACCATGCTCTTAATCTAGACCCCTGCTATCCACTGACTTTTATTCTTTCCCAAGATGCATTTGTGTGATTGCATGCAGTTTCACAATCTCCCTACATCAAATAACTCAGTCAGTACATAGTGCAAGACATATAATATCTTTTAGTTTAATGAATTTTCTCAGCACCAAATAAGTTACTTATATAAGTAAGTACCATGCCAACAAGTTTGTCACTCAACTTGGAAGAGGGAAACTACTTCAAACAGGAGTGATTAGATAAGCAAGTGAAAACATTAGTAATACTGCCTTACATTAAGAGAGCCACAAAGTTCTGATACTTTACAAATGACGGAAGACTACAAATATGCCTGACCCTCCAGCACACTGGCTAGGCAAATATGCACAAATATGCACAAACACCAAGCAACTATCACCAAGCAGTTTGGTTTAAAAAAAAAAAAAAAACACTAATCATACAGCATTAGACACTGGGAATGCAGAAGAACAGAGAAACAAAGTAAAGGTTGCAGTAGTTTTTGTTGTTGTTTTTTTATCAAAGCTTCTGAATACTTCCTTTGGAGCGTTAATTCTGTTTTTCAACACTTCTGACAATGGAATCTAGGATGATGAAAATAAGCAAATCCTGTATTGCTTAGGTTCAGCTGTACTCCAAGGAAGATGAACAGCAAGGCTGTGTGTGAGCACAGCCTAACAGATTCAAGGTAGTATTTACCTCAAATCCACCAGTATTTGCCTCCTTGCAATCTTTCCCTTCCAACCAAAATAACTCTTGTTCATACTGATCAGAAAAACACCATTACCAGTAGTTTCCAATAGTGTCAAAGCTCTAAAACTTGTATTAATCCTTGAAAAGGCAGACTTTCTTAAAAAAGAAGAGAGAGAGACTGTAAAGACTGTGGGTTTATTTATTTATATATTTTTAAAAAGCCAAGTTTTACAGTTTGAAGCCTAAGTGATCCCCACTATGACTAAGCAAAAGCAGAGAAAGTAAGCAATTGCTCAAAGGAGAGATTATGCGCAGCAGCTGAGCCAAAAAAGGTTGAAAGAGTGCGTGCAGAATGAAGATTATGCAAGCAGACGTGCAGATATGGCATGCTAACCAAAATCCTGCCCTTGAAACCCTTCTGATAAGCGTTCAGGGAAAGGACAGGACAAAAGCTGTGGAAATACTCAAGTTCAATGCCTTGAAGAGTACAGTATATTTAAGAAGCTAAACTCATCTCCCAGATATTGCTATAACGAAGTCTTCAAAGAATTTCATGAACAACATATTTCTATACCACACTATAGAAATACATTCTCCAAAACAAACTACTCTACCAAGCGTGAGTTGGGCTGTATTAACAATCAGGTACTACACTAAGAAGATTATCATGAAATATATGCAGCTTCTTAAGCAGAAGAGAACGCAAAACTCCTTGGAAAATCTGCTTAACAAACAAAACACCAACAAGTAGCAATACGAACTGGTTGAACACGCCCCTATTGCACTAAGTAGTTTATGTTCATGGCAGTGCCATGAACCATTCGCCACTCAAGTCAGCAGATAAAAGACTAGTTACTCCAGCAATCTGTCAAGATCACATGGTTTACACTGGTTGCGCCAAGAAAATAAGCAAGAGGTTTGTTAACGTACATGCAGTTATACTAGTATAAGTCAGTCATTTCACAGACTGTTCTAACAAACTACTTGCAGACAGCTGCCTATGGAATGATCCTACACTAACTTGTTCCCAAATCCCTCCCTTGTGCCACCATAAAGCAATTATGCAGCTATGGGGGCAATCTCAGTGAGATACCCTGGCTTTTCTTTGAAGGATTAATTTTTAGCCTGATCAGTGAGGTGATCCCTCTGCCTAGAGAGCCACGTGATTGCTAGTGCCACCACACAGGAAGCGTGACCACTAGTTCCCCTCTCAGCAGCAACCACAGGTCAGCTGAAGTCAACTGACACTCACCCTGACCTCTGCCACCATAGCTGCACAAGAGGTGGGAGGGTTGATTTTTCCTCACAACCTGAATAAATACAGCTACATCAGCAAAGCTAAGGTTGAGATAACTCAGCACATGGAGTTTCCAGCTCATCAAGCCACTGAGCACATGTTACTAGTAACTAGCAACCTGCTAAACATGCGTAAAAATACTCTGAAATTTACTTTCTTCTCCCCTGACAACAGCTCTACCTAAAACAAGCTCACAATCCCTCTGCAAACAGCTGGCACATAATAAGCGACATATGAAAAGACTCCACCTCCATTAATGAAAGGGAATAACTGTAATGACTCACAAATGACAACAAATGACTCTAGTATCAAACTTGGCATTTTCCATGGTTCGATGAATCTTTCAAAGACTGGTTGTACTAGGCCTTTCTTTACACTTCCACAGAGCGCACAAAGCTTGCTACAAGAATTTCTACTTTAATAAAGAGCCTCTTGATAGCCCCTGGAACTAGAAGCCCACAGAGTGTACACAGATGATCACTCCTAAACCAAAATCCTGCTGATATCTGAAAAACACCCCCGTTATTTGTAAGATTTGGGCTCAAGGGAAAGAAAAAAGCTTTTGCTGATCAACTAAGCTAGTCTAACACATTCCTAGGACATTTGCAATGTAAGAACAGAACTGTAAGTTATACGCATAACAGAAGTCTGTACAAAGCCAGCAAAAGTACCTAGTATAAACTAATTTCACAGTCCTAACAGCAGCACATCAGAAAAAAAAATTTAGATAATGTAACCACGCAGCTATATTCACTGTTGTCATCTGGGTCAAAAGTCTAACTAATCCTGACCGCTTATCACCTCTTCTCCTCTGCTCCTTCCCTCTCCATAGTCATGCAATTTTGTGTCATAGTTCAAGACTCTATTAAAATATAACTACCTTAATTAGTCTCTTCCCCATACAGCAAAAATCAAATCTAGGATCAGGTTTAATTTTCAGGGAGATGAGCACAGTTCTCCATCGGTGGCAGTCTTACGAAACCAAGTATGGTATTTTGCACTACAGGGAATTAGAAGCAGAAAGGAACAATGATAGAGCCAGAAATACCCTGAGAATTTTGCTTTATCATGCAAGACAGACAGCTAATACTGTTTGCTTCAAGGATATTTTCATGTAATATGAACAGTAAAGTGCATCTTTTCAACTACTGAAATTACAGGTCAGAAATTCTGTACTCAGAATTTTAGAAGCCTAGGAGAGAGCTCTTTTTATGAGCCTGTATTTTTGAAAGCAATCATTAGGATTTCAGACAAAACAGTAGAGAAACGTCCATTAGCTTGGCACCCGCTTTCCCGCCCCCAAAGATTTATCCAACCCTCCTGCAAGTTTCATCACAATTTTGGGAAGTGACAACACCGATTTAAATCTTTGGATTGTAAAGTTTTGCCAACACGTGTGAATGTTGACTGCAGATGAAAGAATGTGCTATTTGTGATACCTTTTGATATAAACAATTCATTAAACGCAGAAGATGTCATGCTACTGTCCCATAACGTCATCACATCAGAGAAATGTAGTTTATCATCACAAAGTGGAGAAAACATTTTACAATGTCATTCTGACACAAAGTAGGTTTTTTCTGCATCTAAGAGTATTTTTTGATCAACACTTCCCAAACATTTTATGTGAGCTGTCCTTTCTCCATTTAGACACATCACCATGAAAGCTCAAGTTCATAGCTCATGAGGTATCTTAAATCGGCCATTAATGACATTTTCCTCTACATGAAAGTCTGCTTAGAAAATACAACTCAGTATTACCAACAGCAAAGTAACATAAAAAAGAAAGCCTACTTTGAATGAATATTAAATACATATGGCAGCTTGTTTCCAGAATGCAGAACTTCTTGGAAGTGGAGACATGTTCTCATTCATGTTAGCTTCTCTGCACAGTTTATAAAAAAAAAAATCTGATCAAGTTCCCACAAACACTTTGGGAAGACTCTCACCTCAGTGGGAAGCAGATCAGGACACTGATACTTTTATTCTTATTTTTATAGGCCCAGCTACTCTTGTTTAGCTCATTACACTGACGCCAGAGCCTGAACAGTGGGATTGCTTTATTAAGTTAAGGAAAAATATAATCAAGCAACCAATATACTTAACCCACCAACTGTCATTTAGTATTATTCCTATACATATATTATCTATACTATGATCACTAGAGCCATAAAATCTCAATGTCAGAACATACGCATTTCCAGTAACTATTTTTCTTAAAAGATGTAGGACTTGGAACTAGGAAAACATTTCCCAATTTTTTTGTAATAAAGGTTCGACAGCCTTAGCCTGAAAAAGGTGATAGAGGAGCTTCTTGTCTCAAGAATACTGTTTCATGCCAAGAGCTTTCAGATACTGTACTCCAAAAGTTGAGGTCTCTGGATTTCCTCTCTTACAGGATATACTTTGATAAAGAAACTTCATAGATATATATTCAAGTTACAATATGTTCCTGAGATCTGCCATTTTAAGAAGAAAAGCAGTTGTTGGAGTTTTCATCTTCAGTAACCTTTAGGATAAGGTGCCAAAGTACACAATCCTTTCTTCCTCCAGTACTTCATCTGTATTTTGAAGAATCTTTTCTTAGCTTGGTTTCCTAAGGACAAGGCTGATGTGGGTCTCCCTATGTACCAACATCTACTACTTCTCAGTCCCCACTTGCTTCAAGACACACACAAGCATATTTATACACACGCAGATGCATCCTTCTCCCACTTTCAATCAAGTGTGGACAGAGGGCTGATGGCTCCCAAGAAAAACCAAGTTTTACTAAGCATCTACAAGCTTTAGGAAAAGACAACAGCTGGACAGAGAAAATATACCCCCCCTTAAGTAATGTAACAGAGGGAAAGGCAGCAGCAGACATTCACATATTAGACATGAGAGAATCCAGGGTGTCCTTAAAAACATCTGAAGTGCTGTAAAGCTTTCATAGTCATAATCATCAAGAGAATATTTCCATGGGTTAGCGCAGGAGCTAGAAAAGCTACTTGTTTAATTAAGAAACGGGACTCGCGCTGAAGCCAGTTTTTGTTCCCAGTTCCTCACTCACTAGAAAAGTGATAGTTACTTAACTTCCTACTTGTGAGTAGCAGCAGAAGCAAGCAGATGCTTTAGCACTGCTTTCGTTTAAGTACTACTAGACTTTATTTAGTAACTTACATTTAATTCTCAAATTATTTTAAGATTTTCTACTCCTGCAAAGAATAGCAGCAAGTAAGGCTGAGTTTGACTAATAATGCTATAAACACACTTGTGTGATCCACACTTCACTGGGAGCAATTTACAGTACTCTAATTTATGTTAACTCCAATATCTCCTCATCTACCTGTATTGTGTGTAAATTCCTCAGTGTCTGACAGTCTAAAGCATATTAACACATCACTTGATAAATTAACCTGGCAACAAAAGCATTCAAGAAAAAGTAGAAAAAAATTTATTTGTCCTATTAAGTATTTTAATGCAACAGTTCCATCCTAGAGCTGACTAACACAACACGTACCACAATACTCCAGAACTTTTCTCTAAGTGAAGCTGTACCGTTGAGGACTGTTGGGGGAGGGGGGAAGTTATCCATTCTTGTTAATTTATCAACTCAGAATGTTAGCATTTGTGTTCAAGGTTCAGCCCCAAAGGCAACCATGTTACATTAAAAGCTGCCCAGTGTAAGGACAGAATTTGACCCATGTGTACCACAGCGCTTCAGACATCCCACTGCTGTTCAGATAACAACTATAACTGATTACTCAAATCTGGTTACGGATAGATTGGACTTTTTTGTCTGTTACCAAATTGACAAAAATTTTCCTGAAGGCTGAAACACATTCTTTCTTGGAAAATGCTGTACAAGGCAGTACCTCTTAGTATTTATCAACTTCTTCACATACACTGCAGGAAGAAGATACCATCTTGCCTATGCAACTATTTAAAGTCAGAAGTTCATTAACTCCAGGGATTGATTTTTGTTGATTTTTTTTTTTTTTACCCTGGCAGAAGAGCTCATAGCATTGATACATGGCTATGTATCAATGAAAACTGATCAAGTTTGGAAAAACAGCTATTCCAGTTTCTCAGACTGCATGAAAAACTCTATTCTTCTCCAGGCTTCTATACTTAAAATGGCCTTGCCCACAAAACCAAACAATTATGTAACTAAACGATGAACTACACAAGGAATAGCAACAGATGAAAATAACCCAGAAAGGGAGAGAGCTAGCGTATAAATTCCACAATCCAGCTTGCTGAGCTGCCAAACAAGTTCTGCTGGTACAGCTTAAGAATCAAGCACTGCTTGTGTTTACACTACCTTTGAAGAGTTGCTTGTCAAACTATTATCTGCAGAAGACCATATCAAGATGGGGCTAAGCAATCACAGAGGCTTGACTTTTATCACGCCATTACCAATCTGAACTGCATTCTCAAGCAAGTTTATGTAAACCTATAACAACACTTTTTAACTAGGTATTACATCTTTGCAGGTTTGGAATAACAGAAAGGGGAGAGAAATCTCAAAAAAAAAATCAGACTCAAACATCAGGAATAAATCCGAACTATACTTAATACCGAAAAAACATTGCTCAGTATTTGCATTTCTAAGCCTCCACAGAACAGCATTTTTAGTTGCTGCAGTCCAATGTCTGTGTCTGTTACTTCATTAACCATGACTACATCGGTTGCTCATTACCTCTGATCAAGAGCATCAATTGTTAACTGGAAAAGCACTGACATTCAACTAGACTACTGCACTGTAGGAGAGTTTGAACTTTAACAGCTTTACATTACTACATTACATGCCTAACATCTGCGTGCTATAACCGCAGTAAAAGCACACGGTCTTTGGAGAACGTAGGGTTTTTTTTTTCTTTTAGAAAAAGTAGAAGCTTTAAGGTGGGGGGGAGGAGTTAGTGTTATTGGATTACATGCAAACGAGATATATAGCGTTCAGCAGACTCGAAGCTGCCGGCATCCAAGTTTTAAGAACAAGCACACGGAGAAAGGCAACCACAGGCTCTCCCGGGGGGGCCTTCGAGGGGCAGCCCTCCCCCTACTCTCCAGCTAAGGCCTCCGATGTTTTAAGAGCCCCAGCGCCGCGGGAACAGGCCGGCACTCGCCTGCCTCACTCAAGCGCGGCCGGCTCCGGGTCCCCCGCCCCCGCGCG